ACTCCGAGGGGGATCTCCCTCTTCCCACCCGTGGGAGGGGCGCTATTGTGACACTGAGTCCATTTTCCCTTCCTCGTGGGCAACCAGCCCAGTGGAGGGGAGATCAAGGAGGCTCCGCGGTCCCAGTACCTGCGCGCAGCAGCGTCTCCTTCCCGTTTTCCAGGTACTTGAGGAGCCACTCCACGCACGTGCCCTCCAGGTAGTTCTTCCAGTCCTTCGCTGCACTGTCCACCTCCCACTTGCGGCGGGTGATGTGCGCCGCGGTGTCCGCCACGGTCCAGGAGCGCAGGTCCTCGTTCAGGGCGATGTAATCCACGCCATCGTAGGCCCACTGAGTGTACCCGCGGAGAAGGAGTCCGTCAGGCCCCAAGTCACAGCCATATGTCCACTGGATGTTGTGCGACCCTGTCCCCGCCCCGCCCCCAGAGCAGCAGTGATTAAGATGAAACCGAAAGTAAACCCGCCTAAAAGCTCCCTCGGGCTCTCCCAGGGGTCTTGGGACGGGCGACCCCGGCCCGTCCTTGGGGATGGGGATCGTGACCTGGACCCGGCCCGTGTCTCTCACCGGACTCGCTCTGGTTGTAGTAGCGGAGCATCGTGTTCAGGTTCACTCGGGAATTCCGTGCGTTGTTCTTCTCGTTCCGCGTCTCCTGGTCCCAATACTCCGGCCCCTCCAGCTCCACCCACGGGGCCCGCGGCTCCATCCTCGGATTCGGGGCGTCGCTGTCGAACCGCACGAACTGCGTGTCGTCCACGTAGCCCACGGAGATGAAGCGGGGCTCCCCGAGGCCGGGCCGGGACACCGCGGTGTAGAAATACCTGAGGGAGTGGGAGCCTGCGGGCGCGGAGGGGCTGAGACCCCGCCCGACCCTCCTCCCCGCGCGGGACTCGGGTCCCAGGGGGGAGTCGGCCGGGAGGGCAGGGGGAGGAGGACCAGAGTAGGGGAGAGCAGGACGGAGTCCGGGTGGGACGGGGGAGGGGAGGCCCGGGTGGAGGTCTGGGTCCGGGCGGTGGACAGTCGCCTTCCCCGGGGGTTCCGCTTCCCCGCCGGGCGGTTTCTTCGCTCCTGCCCCCCAGAGTCCTTTTCCTCCCGACCCCGCCCTCACCCGCCCAGGTCTGGGTCACGGCCAGGGCCCCCAACAGCAGCAGGAGCAGAGTTGGAGGCATCATGACCCGCATCCTCGGGGTCTGGGGAGAAATGTCAGCCTCAGGAAGCGGGCGCTGAAACTTGATACCCCGGAACCGCGGTGCCGCTGATTGGCTCCTCCGGAAACTGGACACTAATAGGAGTGTGAACCGAGGCCGCGTCATCAGTATCCAGGCAGAAGGACCTGACACAGGTTGTGACAGGGAGAAGTGAAACCAGGGCAGATGGGGACTCCCCAACACTGGGCTTCCCCGCCCCCGACGCCGCCCTGGGGCCAGAGTCCCTGAGAGGCGGGCCTGGGGACCTGGGACTTGGCCTGGACGCCTCACCTACTGCACAGAGCGCTCTTTGTCCCACTGTGTCCCTGAGCCGTGGACCAGGAGCTGCGTGAGTCACTGATTCTCCAGCATTTTGTTCTCAGGACATCTCTACAGTCTTAGAAATTAGTGAGGGTCCCAGGGATAATTGTGTGTCTGTGGATTCTATCGATCCATATTTACCATAGTAGGAATAAAACCGGTTCAAGTATTTATTTATTAATTCATTTACAATCATATGAAAACAGAAATATTGTTTGTATGGAAAGTGACAATGTTCCAAATAAAAGGGGCAGTGAGAAGGGTAGTTTTCTTTCATTGCAAGTCTCTTTCTTCTGTCTTGTTAGAAGACCACTGGATGTTCAGATTTGCTTCTGCATCTCTTGTGTTGTTTTGTTCGAAGTATATGAAAAAATTTATGTCCTTGACCAAATATAGGAGAATAGTATGTGTCATAACCTTTTCAGATAATTACGGGAATTCATGTTTTTTTTACTATATTAAAACTACACAATGTGTACTTTCTCTGAGGTCTTTGCAAACTGGAACCTGAAACAGTATCATTGACTGTGTCTTTCTGTTACATTAAATCCATAGGCCCATCTGCACATGGAACGGATCTTGTACTAATGCATGATTGTTTTTAAGTAACGTGTTGTGTGTTGTTTCACTAAGTAATGTAGGTGTTCCAGCATTGATTAGAGTGGAATTGAATTATCAAAATCATTTGATTTGGGGCACCTGGGTGGCTCAGTTGGTTAAGCATCTGGCTTCGGCTCAGGTCAAGATCTCATGGTCCGTGAGTTCAAGCCTCGTGTGGGGCTCTGTGCTAACAGCTCGGAGTCTGGAGCCTGCTTAAGATTCTGTGTTTCCCTGTCTCTCTGCCCTACCCCTGCTTGCACTCTGTCTCTCTTTCTGTCAAGAATGAATAAACGTGCCATCTGTCACCAGAAAGTGATGTTACAGTATCACTGATGATATTCCCTGTGCTGTGCCTTTTATTCCTAAGACCTGTTCCTTCCATA